AAATCAAACAGGCTTGGCACAGGCTTTCCATGCAGAACCGTTTATTGCCATGCAAGAGGGATGTCACAGCTGCCAGCGCAACACTGGTCCCCCAGGGAAGGATGCTCCAGCCCCACGCGTCCCCCGGGCACATCACCACCTCCATCACTGCAGCTCTGGGGACACCTAGGAGAGAAGATGGGCTGTGGTGATGTTTGGCTGGAGTGGGTGTCGGGGCCTCCTGGAGTGGTGGCACCCACCATGGTGGTGGCAGCTGGTGTGGCACTGTCGAGCTGGCCCAGCCCCAGCAGGGTGAGGGCAAAGTGGACACAGTTGCAGGTGACAGCGTCGTACTCCACTGCCTGGTCCATGGCTGCCCGGATCCGCTGCTGCAGGGCAGCTGCATCCAGCCCTCCCTTCCTCCGCAGCACCTTGGCTGGGCCCCGTGTCCGCAGGAGGTGGCTCTTGCCATGCTTGGCCACAATCCCCAATGGGGACATCCCCGAGCTGCCTGTGGGGCGGAGAAGATGCTGTACCCTGTCTCCCTTCCATGGGGACATCCTCACGCTGTGACCACCCCCTAGGGCTCACCTTCCAGGTGGATGATCTCCCCATCACCACAGTAGACACCAGCATGGGCGCCCCACCAGCTGGGGCCCCCCGAGGCCAGCGGGAAGAGGAAGAGATCCCCAGGCTGGGGCTCGGCCACCCCATCAGGGACCACATCGAAGTGCTGGCCCAGCAGCCCCTCGCAGAGAAAGAATGTCACCGTGCTTGCCACCCCGGCCACCACCTGAGGACCCGTCCATGTTTCAGGGCCACCGGTGTCCCGGGAACAGCGGCAGCAATTCCAACGTGCTGGCTCGTCCCCCATCCCCGGTGGCTTGGGCACAGCTTGGGTCTCCATGGATGCGGAAACCCGCTGAGAAGGGGCCATCTCCTCTAGTGCTGAGTACCCATGGGTGCTGAGGAAAAGGCAGGGTGTGCAGGATTTGGCCCTGTTGTGCCAGGGGTGAGACGGGTGGTGCGGGGCACAGAGGGGACTCCGGCACTTACCTGCCTGGAGCTGCTCACCTGGAGGGACAAACACCTGGTGTCAGCCCCAGTGGCACTGGGGAGATGGGACCCAGGGCATCAGTGTCATGGCACAGCCCCTGCCTGGACCGCCGCCATCCCCCTGCCCGAGCCCCTGGCCAGGTCCCTGTGCCAGTACCCCCAAACCTGTCGCACCCAGGAGCCTAGCCAGCGCCGGGGCTGGAGGAACGGCCCATCCGGGGCTCTCAGGGTCTGCACCAGGGTGCTCACCTGTGGGTAGAGGGGGCAGAGCAAGCCTGGGACCCAGCCTCTGCCAGCACCCATCCCCTGCTAGCACCCATCCCTTGCTGGCACCAATTCCTGCTAGCACCCATCCCCTGCTGGCACCCACCCCTGCTTGCAACCACCATTGCTGTCACCCATCCCCTGCTAGCACCCACGCATACTAACACCCATCCACTGCTAGCACCCACCCCTGCTAACACCCATCCCCTGCTGGCACCCATCCCCTGCTAGCACTTACTCCTGCTAGCACCCACCCTTGCCAGCTCCCACCCCTGCTAGCATATGTCCCTGCTAGCACCCATCCCTAGCCCAGAGCATCCTCCCAGGACCCACTCCCCGCCCCTGCACCCTCAGACTCAGCACCAGGCAGGTCCCAGCCATGCAGTCCATGGGTGCCGGGTGCCACGGGGAGGGGTGGGACTGCCTGGGTGTGGGTGCCCTCCCCACCAGCTCCCCCTTTACCTGGGTGAGGAGGTTCATCTGCAAGGAGAAAACATAATGTCTAGAGAGCTGGGGACATGGGCCTGTGCCCAGCCCCACCTCGGTAACCTCTCTGTCCCCAAGTGGTTGTGGTGCCATGTCGCCCACGAAACCCAATCTGCAGTCTCAGGCACCATGCCAGCCCTGGCGCTCATGCAGTGCCTGGCTCCCTTGCCTCTGGGATGCCTCCAAGGTCCCTTCACTCCGCTGTGGTCCCCGATCAGCTGCTGCTCCAAAGGTGGCTGCTGGATAGGACCTCAACCCACCCTGGCAAGCACTGCTGTGGCTCTTGGCATCTGCACATGGCTTCACAGGTGCCCAGGAATGTGCCCGGACCACACTGACCGGCCCCACCATGGCACTGAGCCCATTCCTCGGGGCCAATCGCAGGGGGGAAAACCCAACCTGGTGTGACATTTCATGAATGAACCCCTTGGGTGACCCCAAAGGAGTCATGAAATGGCTTCATGGCTGCAATGCACCAATAGCCAGTAGCCACTGGACTGGTGCCAAAATGCCTCTTGCCCTGAAGGTAGCCCAAGGGATGGCCACCAGCCTGTCCCTAGCCCTGTGTCCCTGGGGCAGTGCGTGCCCGGGGTCAGCTCCAGAGCCACATTAAACTTTAATCCTTGTGCCAGGGGTCAGCAAAGACTTTGGCAGGGCTATGGGCGGGTGACATGAGAGCTGTCACCCTCTGTCATCAGGAAACCTCCACAGCATCATTTATCATAGAGCCTCCAATAAACAAGAGCTAATTACAGCTGAAATCGGAGCCTGTCCTGGACATGGCTCTGTGCTGGGTGGCCGCATTAACCCTTCCCAGCCACCTCCAGTCCCACAGCCATCTTGTACCCTCCCAGACCTTCGTGTCTTCTTTTGATTGCTCTTGTCCCCTCCTGATCCCCACCATCCTCTCCTGGTCCCCATTGTCCCATCCTGATGTACCATTTGGTTGTCACCACCCCATTCTGGTCCCTAGTGTCCCCTCTTAGTCTCCATCATCCCCTCCTGGTCCTCATCATGGGCTCCTGGGCCCCATCATCATCTTCTGGTCCTCATCATCCCTCTAGGTTCCCTTCGTCCCCCTTTGTCACCATTGTCTCCTCCTGGTCCCCACCATCCCCTCCCAGTCCCTATTCTCCCCTCCTGATCCCCATCTTCCCCTCCCAGTCCTCATCAACCCATCCCAGCCCTCACGATCCCCATCCACCCCTATTGCATCCCATTGCCACCTCCTCATCCCCATCACACCCTCCTGGTCCCCATCATCCCCACGTGGTCCCTATTGTCCTGTCCTGGTCTCCATCATCCCCTCCTGGTCCCTACCATCACCTCCTGCTCTCCACCATCTATCATTGTCTCCTGGTCCCCATCAAAACATCCAGGTTCCCATTGTCCCCTCTGATCCTCATCATTCCCTTCCAGTCCCCATCACTTCCTCCTGGTCCCCATCATCCCCTCCTGATCCTTGTTGTCCTCTCCTGGTCCCTGTCATCTCCCCTTCATCCCCATTGGCTCCTCTTGGTCTCCATCATCCCCTCCTGGTCCCCACCATCTCCCCTCAGTCCCAAACATCTCCTCCTGATTCCCATCATCTCTTGGTCCCCATCATCTCTCCTTGGTCCCCATCATCTCTCCTTGGTCCCCATTGTCTCCTCCTGGTCCCCACCATCCCCTCCTGATCATTGTTGTCTCTTCTTGGTGCCCACCATCTTGGTCCCCATCATATCTGCTCCCAGTCCCCACCATCTCCCCTTGGGCCCCATTGTCTCCTCCTGGTCCCCACCATCACCTCCTTGTCCCCACTGTCTCCTCACATTCCCCACCACCTTGTGCCATCACTGGCAGGAGGAGGGCTGCCAGGACAGCAGTGCCTCCCTGGGTAACCCGATGTCCCCAGCCGAGTTGTCCCCTGGCCAGGGTGCATCCGCCTGCTCCCCATGGCCGGTGGGATTAGTGTGGCCAGAGCCTTGGGGCTGCTCCTGACCACAGGTTTCAAGCCCGTCAGCAGCATCTTTGGGCAATTAGTAAATTAGTAATTAAATGCTCTCTGCTTGCTGGGGGGAGAAGGGGCTCAGATCCCAAGGTTTTAGGCTGGGTAATCCCATGGCATCTGCCCCAGTGTCTGTCACTGAGCTAAGTCACGACCCGGCCATGGGCTTTAGTGTTTGCTCCTTCACCCCCACCCTGCCGCCTGCAGCCCCTTAGTTGTGGTGTCGGGCCTACTCAGGGTGGTCCCTGAAAACAGTCTGGGTTGAGCCCCCATGGATGCCTAGATTGGGTGCTCACGGGGTGCTCAGCCCCGGGAGGGGGTCAGGGTGCTGCTCCATGGGGACCCCACCTTGGGGACAGCACCCAGCTGGGTCTAATGGAGAAACAATGTGGGAAACCATATTTTTGTAATTATTGGCTTTCCGGGGCGTGATGATGATTGGCTGGCAGCAGATGGCTGGCCTGGCTAATCCCCCTCCCAAATCCCAGCTCTGGAGCTGGCTTTTACCTGATGGCAAGGAGGGGATGGGCAAATTAGCCGACTCAGCATGTATGGCCATGCTGGCCACTCCATGGCGCCTCCCAGCAGCAGGCGCCTGGGTCCCTGTGTCACCCATGAGCGGGCTGGCACCCTGGGGTGTGGGTGCTCCCAGTGCCCCCAGATCAGGCACTGGGCATTGTTTCACCAGTGGGTGAAGGTCTGCTGAAGGGTCTGGAGGCACCTAAGCTGCAAGGCAAGGGACAGGCAGGGCGAGATGACAGCTTGCTCCTGCCGCATTAGCCTAGCGTCATAATTCTGCCGAGGGAGGAGGGTGGCTG